GTTTTTATCTTTTTTATCATATTATTTTTAGCAGTCGAAATACGGGGGCTTTTTAAAACATTTGCAGTCTCAATACAGATGAAACTCAGTTTTTAGCATATGTGATGCGCTGTTAATTACCACAAATGATTTCAGTTCATCCTTTGGTTCATGAAAACAAGCACAAATTACGTGCACAATGATGCAAAGTCTAAGCAAGACATTGCACCTGCATATAAACATTACAATTACACACATCGTTTTATTTATTTATATACAAACTGCATTTTACTTATCCAAAAAATACAAACTGTTTTATTTTGTTTTAATATAATTTTTTTTTAATCTGAAGACCTAGTATGTAAAATCGCTCACTAATGCTCAAATTTACAACTCATATAAATCACATTTTTATACATATTATAATTAATAGAAGTATTTGAACAAATATACAAGCTGCATTTCATTTTTATTTAATTTTATGTATATAGAGTGTACAAATATACAAGCTGCATTTATTTTTTTCTTTCATTTTTTTACATATACAGATATACAAGCTGCATTATTTTCTTGAATTTACTTTTTCTTGCTTTTACAAAGTGAAGAACTAGTAAAAAATTAAAATGTGCCAATGAACAGCACGGCACCTAAATATATAAATTCATACCTTAAAATACAGAAATTAGGAACTTATGTACAATATAACAAAATGTATTATAAAAATGAATTACAAACTTAGCTTATATATGAATGTATTAAATTTAATAGTGACTTTACTATAAATTCAAGGGGGAAGGTAAATCTGTAGTTTTATGCAGTTTGATCCAAATTTGAGCCTGAAAGGCTAAATGGCTTCCATTGTTTTATTGTGATGAGACCTGTGTTCAATAACATCACTAGATGCATCTCTTTGTGGTGTCATCACAGGTCTACATGCATTGAGTACACTGAATTGACGCTGAATTATTTCTATGCATCCTACTGAGTTGTGATTGCAAAGTTCGCTGGTAGATTTCCAGAGCTACAGAAACAAAACTAAGAAAACGTCTTCTTTCCCCACTCCCCTCCATCCATACCCATGATTTTTTCCTTCTTTTTATCCAACTTGCATTCTTCATTATTGATGTTCTGTTTTATTCACATCCCCTTGTTTATTTCACTCCCATTCTTACTTCCGTTGTTATTAATGGGTGTCACTGACATGAATTCATCTCAACCCTCATCTGATTTCCTCGTATCCCTCCCACCCCTCCAAATCTCCCGTTTCCTCTCTTTCAGAGCACATGCGACACACTCCGGAGTCACTCGGACAGTCTCGGATTCGCGCCGAACGTGCTACCTAGTCACCCGGCTATAGGCAACTTCGAGGAATTCGCTTGTTGATGACGCAGGCGACGGGACGGTTTAGGATACGACGGAAAACTGTGAAATATATATCGGACAGACTCCGAAAGAAGTGTAAGTCCACGAAAATGTACATGTTAAATAGTAAAAAAAAAAACACCTGAATAGAATCGATATATATCATAGATCATCAAGTACAAATAGGCAACACTTCCAAAACAAAACTCAGGTTTTATTAACATCACAGCCGCTCTTTGTTTGACTTTGTGGAAAATCCTGGTAGATTTCATGCCATTTCTTTTCGGACGATTTCAAACGTACAAATACTGTGACGGTATTTCACCCGAGAGAGTATTTTTTCCTCTGTGCTTTTCTGAATCCTGTACGAACACTGTGGGCCTAATTTGATCAAGCCGCCTTAAACGAATCTGAAAAATAAAGCATTTTAATATTGCACAAAAATTGTTATAGAAACAGTCGGTTTGGCCAAGGTTTAACTCTATTTTGGCACTTTTTTTTGTACAATAATCGTGTGAGCTTTAACCGCGGTTTGACTGAATTCAGCCCTGCGATAGTACTCGAAAATATGTAATCATTCCGAATGTTTGTCTCTGTTCATATTTTGTGTATATAAGTGCAATAATATGTTAATGAATACCGTATATTACCTTCAAGTCTTAATTATTAGCTGTCAGGTAAACAGAAGGAACCAGATGCTTTCAGTACAACCTGAGTTACCAGCAATCATGCCGTTTTATTTCGACATGCTGATGTTACTCTATTTATTTTGACTTCCATCCACTACACTCTAAAAAATGCTGGGTTAAATAGGGACAAACCCAGCAATGGGGTTGTTTTGGCCCAGCGGTTGGGTTACTACCCAGAAATTTGGGTTAAACATTTAACCCAACCGCTGGGTCAAAACAACTCAATTGCTGGGTTGTATTTAACTCAGCATTTTTCAGAGTGTAGGCAGCGATGAGATGGGATGTTATTGAGTACTATTTAGATTTATGAATGACACATTTCATGTGTAAAGCTTCACTTATCCAATCCCACATGTGAATCCATTCATCAGATTGTTTCCTCCAGGAGCTAATTCATTACCTTAAGTGGCAAAGACTGTATGCGATGTGTTGATGTGAAAATCAAATCATCAGTCGCTGAAAAGCTCTTGACGAGTTACATGCTCATATTAAATATAATGAGCATTAAAAATAGATCCCAGTTCCACATTCACTAGAAAATATTAAATTATTTTAGATGATACAGTTTCAAAACTTGACATATTACTCAAATGCTTCGATTTTATTCTTTCATGTTTTGGGGGTCAACCTAGAAGTTACAGGTGTCTTCCTTTTCTTGCATGAACTGCTCATGTTCAAATATAGCCCAAAAAGTATCTGGACACTAGGAAGCAATAGCTCACCCAAAATGAAAATTTGCTGAGGATTTCCTCACCCTCAGGCCATCCAAGATATAGATGAGTTTGTTTCTTCAGTGGAACAGATTTGGAGAAATGTAGCATTCCATCACTTGCTCACCAATGGATCCTCTGCAGTGAATGGGTGCCGTCAGAATGAGAGTCCAAACAGCTGATAAACCACTCCAGTCCATCAATTAACATCTTGAGAAGCGAAAAGCTGCTGTGTGTTTGCAAGAAACCAATTCATCATTAAAACGGTTTATAACTTCATACTGTTGCTTCAGGCTAAAATACTTGTCCATAATAACTCTTCCTGCATTATGGATTATGGACTGGTATTTTAGCTGGAAAACATTTTTTTTGATTACTTGTGGATTATTGTGATGTTTATAAATCAGCTGTTTGAACTCATTCTGACGGCACCCATTCACCGCAGAGTATCCATTGCTGAGCAAGTGATATAATGCTACATTTCTCCAAATCTGTTCCAATGAAACAAACTCATCTACATCTTGGATGGCAAATTTTCATTTTTGGTAGAACTATTCCTATAAAAATGTCTGAATGTCATCGCATTAGATAAAAATGATCAAACCAAGTGTCATTTATTTTAAAGAAACATAGCACAAGCACACTTTCAAAGCGAAACAGTCACAAAATGAAGTTGTTAGGTGTTAAATGGTAACCCAATAGATACACCGTGCAAAATGAAGACAAAAGGGGTTTCATATCTTAACGTGATGAACTAAAAAACCACCTTGGGGTCTGTTGGTTGAAAAATGGCTTGGAAAAAATTTAGTTCTAATGCAGTAACATTTTTGAGTGTCCAAGTACATTTTGGGGTGCTTCAGCTTCACTACAGTACATTGCAATATGGTAAAAGGCAAATATCATCTTCCATCATGTTTCCTGCACTTCAGCTACAATGTATTATTGTATTGTTTTATATAAACTACAATGGGATTTCTAGTACAGGTATCACAATTTTAAAACAGAGAGTTGTGACATGTAAATGAACCAGTATAATAAACATAATATATTTAACCATCTCTTAACATGTTGTCTGTCTGTTGATTCTGTATGTGATCCAGTGCTGCTTTTGTCCGTTTATGTTTTTGTTTATGACAGTGCTATTATTAAAAATATAGCAGTAAAGAATAATTCAAAACATGAATAAATACTACAATTGTTTACAAGTAATACTGGAATAGCACTAGTGCTTGCAAAGATAGACCAAGACAGCAAATCCCGGTTTTGCTATGGTTTATTTTTTTGATAGTGTTATTTTGATCAGACAAAAAAGTCAAAATCCAACAAAAAGCGATAAATATTGAAACAACTTAAATATATATATATATATATATTTATAGCACCTGGCACAGTCCGACCCCAGACTGTTTAAACGGAACATTAAGATAACAGAGCTGTAAAACAATGTGTTTCACTTACGCAGTTCAGTCTTGTGTGGAAAAACCCTCCAATCCTTTAACACCGCAAACAGCACGTCTGCAACTACATCCTGATGCCGTTCGTTCAATAACATCCCACACAAATAAATACTGTACATACACGGTCTTAAGGTACATCCGGAGGTATTTCAGTGGGTGTGATATGGATGCCGTTATCTTTATGAACTACGCTTGAAGCTACTCTCTAACTGCAGTATTTCAAGTAGATGCACAGGAAGTTCAGTGTTTCACATGAATTGTGGCTATATCGCTGACCAGAGTGTCATATACCATGTGTAAACTGTCAAAAGCCCTTAGGCTCTCGTGGTAGTGATATATTACAGAGACGAACGTTCCTGCACTTTGAGAAAGCACATTAGTTACAACTATTTTGTTCTGGATAACGGGAGATTCTAGTTTGAAACCTGACTGAACTCTTAACGCAGGCAACACAAACTCATACCCTTCAGATTTGGGTTGACACGGACTCGGACACACGACATTAACTGCTTAAACTGATGAATTCTGGGATTCGGCTTGAAAGATCATCTGTCAGATGTGTAATATTTAATTCAACACGCTGGAAGAGACTGTTATCGGTTGGGTACAGAGCACAAATCCTAAACCGAGCTCAAAAACACAACACTAACACCTTCAAACTGACTTTAACCTTAAAGTGTTTCATTTGAACTTCTTAAGTGGTTAAATAATGTGCTAATCTGCTGTTTACGAGCTGAACAAGTAGTCTAGAAATAATATTTCAATGTATGTGAACTGGGATTAATGTCTGGCTTTTTAAAAAAAAATGCTTTCATTTGAATAAGTTTATCGGGTTTTCCACATTAACTCTTAAGTTTAGTAGTTAATCCTTCTTATAGCTTTAGAATAATTTAAATAACAAAAATCCTTTAATACAGTCATATGGTCGTCTAAGATGTTTTAATATATTTGTTGCTGTAGATGAAATGCTCATGACAGACATGACAAATTTTATTTATTTTGTGCGTTTGCTTCTACATCAAATGCTTTTTGGTAAAGCGTGATGAGTTTTATTGCTAAAATCTTTTTTCTCGTTTAAATTTAACCTTTTTATAATCTCAGGCTAAGAGGTTATTGTTAAGATTTGTCAAAACGTCTGCAAATGCGAATTACTTTTAATTTAAATAAAAATGTTCTTTAGGCGAAAATTATCCCCAAGTCTATATTATATTTACTTTAAGAAAAAAAAAATAACTTTGAGACCATTTTTTTTTTTTCACGAGGCAACTGGTATGATTTTACATTCAGTGATATTTTCTGTCCGCCGATGCTGTAATGCAAAAATGAAACTAGCAATACTACGATAAAAGGATGTTTTCATCCTGCAAACCGAGGCAGTGCTTCAAAAGTAAATACTGCCCCGACTCGCCTTCGAATCAGAGATGCGGAAAACTTAACTTGCTCGAACCCAAATAAAAGAAACGTTGCATGAAAGAAAATAAAATGGAAATAAATACTGTAAAACAAGTGTCACCCTGTTGTGTCATAAACAAAACAAACACACAGCAGTCTGAAATGTAAATGTAACTGACGTGACGAGGGAGGGGAAGTGGCAGCCCGTTACGTCACAGTTCCTCTGCGTCCAGAGAACCGAACGGCTCCGACGAGCTCCTTGAGCGACATGCTCGGTGTGGCGTCCCAACATGCTTGATCAAAGGGTGTCAAACCAAAGGAAGGCCACAACTCCTAGAAATGAACAAAAACTGCAAACCAGAAAGAAAGATGATGGTAAAAAAGCAATATGAAATCATTTTGCATTGAAACACTAATTAGATCTTCATATGTAGTGATATTAACTAGTCTGAGTCCAAATTGAATCCTGTGGAACGCACTGTACAGGTTGAAGGCACTTCAGCTGCTCCCTCTGCTGGTCTGATCCGGCACAGGGCTGGTATTTATCTCTTCCTCGTCCGCCTGCTCCTCCTCTTCCTCCTCTTCAGCCCAGCCGCCCAAGCGGTGACTGTCTGTGACTGTCTGTGCGGACTGTATCTGAGGACCTTGAGCTGAAAGAAAGAAGTGGCTTCAGATCCTTTTATACAATTATACCATGATCAGGTATGCAAAATGAGTTATTAATCCAAAGATTCAACTTCTGATGGGTCTGTCTGCAGCTGATTTTGTTTCAGAAATACTTGCTCATGCAAAAGGCCAACTGAATAGCTTTTAAAGCAACCAACCACAATCTGAAAAGTAACTGATTAGTCGAGTAACATCCCTAGTAAAACAGCAGCACTTTATAATAAGGTTGAATTTGTCGGTATTTGTTAATGCTTTCTGTATCATGAACTACCAATAACAAAAAATACTTTTACATGTATTCATTCCAAAATATTAATGGTAATTTTTACATATGCTAACATGTCAAGCGGTATAAATGAAAAATCTATGATATTAAAATTTATCATGATTTAGCGATAAAAAAAATGTATCGCTAAATTAATACTTTATACATTAATAAATACTAATATATATATATATATATATTAGTGCTGTCAAATTATTAATTGCATCCAAAATAAAAGTTTTTGTTTACATAATGTGTGTGTACGGTGTATATTTATTATGTATATATAAATACACATACACACAGTATATATTTAGAAAATATTTACATGTATATATTTATATTTACATAATTTATATTATATATAATTATATTTATTATATAAACATAACATATTTTTCTTAAATATATACATGCATGTGTATGAATTTATATATACATAATAAATATACACAGTACACACACATATTATGTAAACAAAAACTTATTTTGGATGCAATTAATCATTTGACAGCACTTATATATATATATATATATACACACACACACACACACAAACATAATATAAATATTTAACATGAATTAACAATGAAAAATAGTATATTTATAAATTAACAATATTACATTTATATATTAATAAATCATATACTATATATGTATATATAGCACATTTATTTTTTTTTAAACTTGAAAATTGAATGAAAATTGATTAATGCTGTTAAAAAAATGTTCATTGTTAGTTTGATACCTAATGCATTAACTAATGCTGACAAATGTAACTATTGTAAAATGTTAGAATATTTTAAATGAAATTTCCATAGAAAAATTGCAAACTTTTATCATGATTTGACCTCCTGTACATACAGATGAAATATTTTCATATCAGTCTCATTAAGAAATGCACTGGGCGCCACTGTGACTATGTGGAATGTGGGAGATGATGCTGTGTGCTTTCAGCCTTAGAGTACTCATCAAATGGCCATAGCAATCTGATGCATTTTGAAAGCCGTTTTATGTGCATCTCACGCATGTGACGATTCGAAAGACTCACCACTGTTGGTGCTCAACTCCCTCATTGGCACAGAGGCCTGAAACGGTCCAGATGCATGCTGGGTCTTTTGCTGATGCACCTGAGGGAAAGGCCAAAAAGTATTGGGAAACTATACTGGATTATAAAGCTGTTTGAGTATGTTGGGACCACTCACCTCATGCATGTATATAGCGTGCAGGCTCATCTCGGCCGATGCAAACTCTGACGCCAGAGCCGAATAAGACTGGCTGAGCAGCCTGGAGTCACTTGCAGACATGCTAATGAAAAGGTAACATCGATTACTTCAGAATCTGAATTGAACCGTGTGGGCGGTTTAAAGAGAAATGGCTCTGCCACTTGTCATTATTAGTTTCCTCAAGTGTTACCTGTCGCCCACAGTGTGGTCGCTGCAGTACATGGTGCTGTCATGGCTCTGTCGGGATGGCAGGAGAGTGTGTGAGCGAGACCGGCCGGCGTGAGGCTGCTGAGACGACGAAAGGGACGCCAGGACACTAGCGGCAGCTGAAGCTGTGCTGCTCGGCGGGACGAAGCGGCGGTTCCTCCCAGGCAGTCCGGAGGCGGTCAGTACGGGGTGAGCCAACACACTGGCTAACAGGTTATCAGGCTGAATAATGCACAAACATATGCATCTCATTAAGAGAAGTGAAAAATGAGCTGGCATCGTGCTGAGGCAGATGGCTACAGTCTCTGCGCTCAGGATTATGATCTGTGAAATAACCAATCTGGCAGCAAGCGCTGAAACAATGCAGAGGCATAAAATGAAATGTCAATATTTCTTGTCTTCTGGCAGGCTTTTTAATATCCTGAATGCCACAGGAAATGTTTTTTTTTCTTTCATTTTGCCTTCGCAGTGGAGTGCTTCTAAGTGTGTCCCACTCAATAAACAAAAGCTCTACTCTGTAGAGTTAACCACTGAACTACCGCATCCATCAACTTTGTAAGGATAAAAGAAACAAAAATACTTTGATCTCCTGAGAAACAAACAATACACTGGCATCTTCAAGACACCCCACAGAGGGGTGGTGCAGGAAACGCCTCTCTCACATATGCATCGGTGCCTCATCTCCTCCCTCCACTGGATTCACTCAAAATGGTCAAGAATATAATGTTCTATATGAATGCAAATAAGATTTACAGTCATGTTTGGTTTCATTTGAATAGTTTCAGGGCAAGTGGTACAATGGTCTTAATCTTACTAAAAGATAATACAGATCCTAAGAGTTAAGAGAAACTGAAAATCATTATTTTGAATTCAACTTTTTACTTGATTTTTTTAGGAAAAAAAGATTCAGATGAAGTTTGAAAGGCTTTAGGACTATCGGACAAAATTAGATGTATTAGAAGTATATTATAACAACAACATAAGAAAATAATATTATATATTAATAATAATCATAATTAAAACAATCGTAATAATTATTACGATAATTATAATTATTATATACTTACACTACTGTTTATAAGTTTGGGGTCAGTAAGATTTTAAGGAATTACTCATTTTATTTCTTTCATTCAGAAAGAAATGAATACTTTATTTTATTTACCTCTAAAAGATATTGATAGTGATAATGTTATAAAAGATTTCTGTTCCAAATGCTGTTCTTTTGAAATTTCTATTAATCAAAAAATTCCTTTAAAAAGTCTGAATGGTAGTGTATATCAATATTTATATTATTTATAAATATTTTAGTGTGCTTGATATGATCTCACATGATTAATCACTGCACATTTACAAAATGATTGTTTAATATTTTCATATTTAATATTTTTTACAAATATTTGAGTAAAAAAAATTATGTAAAAACTAATTAAAACCATTCTAAAACCAGCAAGATATTTTGCTTTTTTAAATTTTATTACAATTAAGCCGTTTTCTCACCAAAGTTGATCACTATTAAAGCAAAAAACATCATCCATTATTGCAATGGAAGACAAAAATTATTACTTAAGTATTTATAAATCAGGGTGATATTAGTTTATTTTACCTTGATGATGATTTACATTTGAAAAAATCTTAATTATCTTTAAAAATGTCAATGCAAAAATGGTCCTAAAAAGTAAAAAAAAAACCTTAGTAAGTAACTTTACAGCAGTTAAATGTGTTGTGAATTGCATTGATTGGAACAGATAATAGAGGATCCTAATACAGTCAAGACAGTGGTACACATGATAAAGCGTGACTTACACCCGTGGCAGACTCGTTGGACAGCAGCGAGGTGCAGAGAGGAGCCTCGGACAGCAGCAGTTGAGGAGATGGTCCTGTCTGAGCGTCCTGATGCACCTTCTCCTTCAGGTGGCTGATGAACACGGAGCTCTCCCGCGGCGGCTGCCAGCGCGGGTTTTTGATGGTGAAATGCATCAGAGACAGCTCCGTCTTCCCGTTCTCAGCCTGTTGGTACACCGAGGCCTCGGTCTGACCTTCGGACATCCACTGAGCAAGAGGGAAAAACACAAACCATGAAGCTGCTCTCACATAACCACACACTCTTATGATCTTATTTCCCCCCCGAAGAGCTGAAGCATTAATAACGTGCATGCATGTACTCTTTGATACCTGTGGATTTCCATGGTGCCGGATGTCCATCTGGGCGAATGAGCAAATGTCTCCCACCCCTGCCACATCGACGGTAAAGTTGCGGAAGAAGTCGATGATTTCTAAGGACTTGCTCCGCAGGGGGAAGATGAGGATGAAGGGAGTAATTATGGGACTCAGAAGCTCCTCCAATATAAAGACCTGCAGGACAGGTGGAGAAAAATGAGAGAAACTCAGTGAGTGGAACTCATAAAAACAGCGGAGCAGGTGTGAAACAGTGCTGGAGAACAGATGCAGTGAAGATTAAAACCTACATAGCAGGTGTGCAAAATCAGACAAACTCCTAGACAACAGGTGCAGAGCGGCAAGGTGTTATTTCATACTTCAAATAACAGAGAAAACTCCACTGTGGTAAACAACCGACTGACTCATTTTCAGTCATCAGACTTTGTGTGTTGTGCCTCTCTGTATTATAACAGTAAGACTAAAAAGTCAAATCCGAACTACTGTCATTAAATAAAAAAAGTTTATATATGCAAATTGAGCAACCTTGTTATTATCTGAATTCGAATTGTGAAATTTTTTTTTTCTGTCTGTAAGCATGCACTAATTCAAGGGGTTTTCAAATTTTTTAATATGGCCACATACTGTATGCAAAAAGATATATTTTTTTAAATGAAATAATAGTGATTGTACTAAAGCCTAAATAAATTATTTAAATATCCCATGGAAAACATTTGTATCAGGTTAAAGGTTTGTCCTCTTTCTATCCATTATTAGAATATGAAGAAAAACATTTTCCATTTAAATGTATTTTTACAGCACTTTTCATAATAAATACAATTCAAAAATAACTAAATAGTGCCATACAACTAGTGAGCAAGCTAAAAATGACAACAGTAAGGAAAACAATGCAAATCAAAATTATTCTCGAAAAAATATGCACTTAGCTAGAAAAGAGAGATTTTTTTTTTAATGTATTGTTTTTCCTCAACACTATATATGCATTTTTACCAAGTAAGAATTCTCACCAAGGCTGTATTTATTTAATAAAAAATATGGTAAAAATAGTATAATACTGTGAAATATTATTACAATTTAAAATAACTGTTTTCTATTTGAATATGTTTTAAAATGTAATTTATTCCTGTGATCAAAGCTGAATTTTCAGCATCATTCGGTGTCACATGATCCTTCAGAAATCATTACATATGCTGATTTGCTGCTCAAGAAACATTTATTATTATCAATGCTGAAAACGTGAACAGCATTTATTTGAAACAGAATTTTTTTGTAGCACTATAAATTTCTTTGCTGTAACTTTTCATCAATTTAATGTGTCCTTAAATTAAAGTATTACATTCTTTAAAAAAAAAACAATAATAATAATAATTTTACCGACCCCAAATCTTTAAATGGTAGTGTATATTAATGAATGAATTAAGAAATAACAAATAATGTCTAACGATAATAATCTGCCTATGTCGTGCAGTTCTCACCGCTTTATACTGGAAAAGCTGTGCCATCTCGTCACGGGTCTCGCTCTTGTTGGCGTTGCCCTTCCAGTGGTCGGGCATGTAGTGAATGTGGGCCAGGACACACTGAAGCAGCTGTTCAGGACACCACACCATATGTTCATCTGGAATAAACGACCTGTAAGAGAGTCAGACGGCATTACTGAAGCCAGGTCAGACTAACAGGTGCTGAGAGCGTGCTGTTTACTGTACAGATCAGAATGATAATGTTCGGGTGGAACGAGGTCAACTGAACACATGAAACAGCACTTATTCTTTGACCTGAAGCCAGCTGGATAGAGCTGGATAGAGCTGGATAGAGCTGTAGAGAGTAATTATCGTTTACCTCACGTAGTTGGACCAATATGTTTTATGTCACATTTATGCCCTGTTCCAATACAACGAGAGGTGCCTTGTCGTCTACATAGGCAGCATCTTTATCAAAATGAAGCCTTATTAGTCACTGATTTGAACTCCACACAGGCAGCAACAATTAAGAATGGAATTAAATATATTTTTAATTCATGCTCTTGGAAAGGTTGTCTTCAGCAAACTGTTTGCGGGCTTTCTTGTGAGCCAGCTTTAGAAGAGGCTTCCTTCTGGGACGACGGCCATGCAAACCAACTTGTTGCAGTGTGCGGCGTATGGTTTGAGCACTGACAAGCTGACCTCCCGCTTCTGCAACCTCTAAAGCAATGCTGGCAGCACTCATACGTCTGTTTTTTCTGTTCCAAGTGGAACTCGTCTTAGAAAACCTCTGTATGTCCCTGGCCACTGTACTGCAACTCAGTTTAAAGGTGTTACAGATTATAGCCTAGGCCATCTTAGTGGAGAGCAACAATTCTAATTCCCAAATCCTCAAAGAGTTCTTTGCCATGAGGTGCCATGCTGAACATCCAGTGGTCAGTATGAGAGAATTGTACTCAAAGCACCAAATTTTAACTGCTCTAATGTATGTACAAATTTGTATGGTCCTGTCAAGCAAACAAAAACATGAACATGATGAATAGGACATGTGGCTTTGCATGGTTAAATGACATACAGCTGTCATCACTTAGGGTGTACTCATGTTTGTTGCCAGCTATTTTGACAATTATGGCTGTATGTTGAGTTATTTTCAAAGGACAGTAAATCTGTACTGCTATACAAGCAGCACATTGACTACTCTAAAAAGTAATCTTACTCTTCTGTTCTGCATTTCTACTAATCTAACTAACTTGGCACTGTGTAGTGTACTATGTGTATTGTTGGCTCTTACAGCAAATGTCTTGCGATGGTCCTTGTCCTTGTAATGAATGAATGTAAAAGCCTAGACATACCTGGTGATGGTGATGACCAGTCCAAGTACGGTGATGGCCGTCAGGATGTGCTGCACAGTCAGCACGTCTTCATCGTACACCGTCAGAGCGATGAGCACGGCGAGCACCGAGCCGGAGAAGAAAGCCACGTTTTTGGCCAGCACCGCCAGCAGAGGAGAAACAAAAGCATTCATGTATTTGGCGGCGGGTTTGTACCCACGACCCAGCCTGCCTTGCAGCTCGTGATCCAGCTCGTTAAAATGGCGCAGGTAGAGACGGCCGTACAGAGACCAGCGCCGGGCCCCCAAACTTCCCGGCTCGCGCTTGATGACTTCAGCGTAGCTAAAGAATGCGTACAGCACCTGCCACACCAGCACGAAAGGACACAGCAGCAGATTGACCAGACCAGTCAACAGGATGATGCGGCTGAGCTGCTTGGCGAGCTCCTGCCGGTTTGCCGCCCGTTTGTATTTGGGATGCAGACTCCACTTGTTCTGGAAGAGCGACAGAGGGCCCCAGAACAGAATGAGCTCAAAATTGTATTTTAGGCCCTGCGTGAGGAAGATCATGTCACTGAAGAAGGGCACACGCAGTCTGACGGGCAGCAGGGACTTGTTGATCATGGCCACTGTGTAGTTTTTAAAGCGCAGGATGCGGTGGTAGATGTCTAGTTCAGAAAGTTCACGCTTCTGGACGCACATGGGCTGCTCACGCTGCAGGTGAATCAAACGGCCTTGAACTTCTTGCCAGGTGAAGTTGCACAGCTCATCCTAAAAGTCATATAAAAAAAACACACACACACAGAATGTTTTAAATAAACAACATTTCATTTATAATTACATTTTAATGCATATATTTAATTTACGTATTAAAAATATGATTGAGATATTTTTATATATAATATTTGTATAATTTAATAAATAAATATATATTTATAATAGTTGGTTAATTAATTTATATACTTGGATTTATTTACTTATGAAATAATAAATATTTAATATTTATATTTAGGCGTGACAAATGAATGTGATTAATTATTCATTAAAATAATGACACCTGATAGAAAATACATTTTCAATAACCTCAGGACTGCAAAAGGTTAAACTTCACAATCTAACTGGTTAAACTTCAGTATTCTTAAAAGAGCTGTTTCAGATGAGACTACATTTTATGATTATTATATATGCCTATTATAATTATTTAAAAAATAAATAAATGATGAAAATAAAAAATAAATTTAAACATGATACAAAATTGTACTTATTTATTTATTTAAAAATGAATATATAATAATCATAAAAGAGATATTTTTATATAATTATTTTAATTATATAAATTGATATTTACATTTTATGATTATTATACATGCCATTTTATGACTATTAACTGAGAGACAACATTAAATATTGTGTACTTTTAAAACTGTCACACCAAAGGAAAAAAGTGTGACTAAGAACTATAAAAAAAAACAGACACAGCATGTTAAATATGCACTTTAAACTATAATCTTGTTGGCGATCATCTCTTACCATCTGTATTTTCAGTGCTTTTTTATAAAACTGTCGGATCTCCCAGTAGCGGAGGACGTTGCAGATCACCTTCACGAGTCGATAGACCCAGAAAATGGCTGCCATTATCAAGAGGAAGATGATCCAGCTGTTTCCTTGAATCCTAAATGGGAGAGAAACATCATCACTATTGACAGCAGGTGATTGTGTGATTGCTCATGATTCATGATATTATAAGAATAAAGTCATGTATAACTCAGCCAAACTTAACCAAGACAGATGCTAAATAAGTAATACCCAGTATGTGATTTAGTGTGATCTAACGTCATTTTGGGCTTGAATAACTTTATTCTCTCTTCCAAATGCAGTTTGTTGCGAAACATAATGAGAACAGATTTCGAAAATAACATGAGAGACCAAATGAGTCTTAATTACTGTATGACAGCACGAGATGTTCCTAAATGAGTCTCATTGAAGTGAGTCAGCTATGATATTAATATGTTTGTGTCGCATATCTGTGTCTGTCAACAACACACTTGTAAAAGATGTATATTTCTTCTGACTGTCTGTCTCTGAAAACTTCAACCAAGTAAGAACCTGAGAAACAAGCAAAACAGCTATTCAATGTCAAACGGACCAAAACATCCCAGTGTCTATTTAAAACCCATGAGCTCTACGTAATACACAGTTTGAGGATCATCTACGGCCACAGAAATAGAATGGCAGCGTCTGAGAGAGCAGAACATCCCTCTGCTGATGTTCCAACAGGTGCTTGTTTACAGCTTGCTTATTTTGGAGCCGCTGTCTGAGACGAAGGAGTCACAGTGTGATGAATTGAATTGAGTACCAGTGTGATGCAATATATCCTTTACACGAAAAAAGCATTCTCACCCAATGCTCTCGGGCACGTTTGCTTACAGGCTACTACGGAAATCAAGCTTGACAAACAACCTTGAAAACTGAGCACAAAACGTGTTGCGTTAAGATATAGTCCAAACCTGAAGTGATATAAACCTTGAGTGGGGCATTGCAATAAAGGTTCACATGCAATATCAAAATATTTTATTTATAACATCAGAAAACTGTCTGTCAAATGCAGGCTGTATAAAGTATATTTGTTATTTTCTAAAACGCATTAAAAATAAATTAATTAATAAAAAAAAAATGTAAAAAAAAAAAATGTAAAAAAAAATATATATATGTATGAAGAGTTAATTTGCAAAAACAGATAACTCCATTTTTAACAATTCTGAGGAATCATGCTTTTTCATTGTGCATTTCAATTAATCTCAATCAAATTGCAGTTGGGTTATTTTGATTAAGATAAAAAAATAGCTTAAAAAAACAGCTAACTAACACAATAAGACAATAATAATAATAATTTAAAAAACTGAGTTATCCGTTTTTGCAAATAAACTCTTCATATATATATATATATATATATATATATATATATATATATATATATATGTGTGTGTGTATATATGCATATATACCTCGCCAAGAGCCAAAACCTGGTTTAAACTCTGAACTTGGCTTGCTTCAATGAAAATAAAAATGTTGACTTCTAAGCTAGGATTTTCTGTATTAATAAAATATATTTGAAATGGGTCCAGTGTTACTTTAATATTATTTGTATAGCAATATAGCATTTATTACTACTTTGAATGAACTTTTCTTTGTATATTTTCAGTTTTCACTTTTTATAAATAGTTTTAAATAGTTTTGTTATGCGTTATGTGTCATGTGAGATTTGTTTATACTTTTTTTATTCAGATTAATATTTTCAGTTTTCATTTTAATTTGTGAGTATTATATATATATATATAATATTTATTCTGCAACTTAACATTATTTTACTTGAGTTACTTTCCAATGCAACATTAGTATTTTTTTACACCAATCGAAATTAGTATTTTTATATATCAGTTTTATTTGTATCCATATTTTAGTACTTCAACTTAACCTTATTTTACTGAACTTATTTTACTTAACAATTTTTTTTATAGTTTTAGCTAAAGATACAAACACTGAATTTTATATTTTATTTAAACAACTACTTACATCCTTGACCAATTCAGAGTAACCAACAAATTACTACAAGCAAAGCGGAATTCAATTCACAATATAAAGGGAATATGCCTGTATAAAGCGGACACACTGACCTCTCAGTGCACTGCTCGCCGGGTAAAATCGCATCAGGAAGGGTGACCTTGTTCCTGTCCAGTGGACCGAGTGGACTCTGACCCGTGTGGTTGATCACTCGGTTGGCAAAGAGAACATCATATTCCACACAGTTGAAGAGGAAAGTTGTAAACGTGACTACAAACAGGAATTGCCTGAATATGGGAATGCAAAAAGAGATTAGTTCTGGAGTGGTATGTATGCAGTTCTGCCCCAAAGAATTAACGTTTCAGGTAAAAATAAATATGACTTACACAAGTTCAAAAAACTCTGATAACACCATACAGGCGAATCCATTCTTCTGATGGAAATGATAGATGTGAGCGTGTCAAGGACTCTTGCATTCCAATGAAAGAAGGACAGCATTGTTCAGCCATTAATGCAGCCAGAGCATAACATAATATCAATGCCTAATGATGAATAGAGACGGTGTGTCTTCAAGAAAAAGAGAAATGATGCCATTCCAGGCATTTACAACTATTGCTGATTTTGGGGGCGAAGAAATGCATGAATTTTCCTATTCAGCCCATGAAATTCATTAAATAATACAGCATATTGTTTTCATATTTTTAAAGGATATTCTTGTGAAGAAATTGTCGAGGTTCTTGATATGATGCCATGGGTCTGCAATGAAACAGAGACATTGTTATTCAGTTCAACGATCAACAATATGATATACAGATTTTTGTTTGTCATAAAGTGAACAATAATGACCTCCTCTTCCCTCTGGCACATGGATGAGTAAATCTTCCTCTCCTGGAGGGGAGTCTTCCTCATAGTCTTCTATTCGCTGATACTCCTGGTACGTTTCAAAACCAGCCATGGTGTTTTACATTCTACCTCTCTATAATGTCCACCACAGGTCCTGAACAACACATATAACATTATAGTAGAATTAGATGTGACAGATGTCATCCACTGTCCACAAACTGGCCGAGTTCACTGTACTCACAAGAGTGTTATTGTCTCTATTTTTTTGACACAAGTTTTTATCACAGATCACGAACGTACAAATGCATCCATTATTAATGACAACATAATTTCTCATTAAATTGAATTATTTTTATGCGGTGTCTGCTAACGGGAGTGAGTTTAGCAGATCACACATCTACCTCATGCTGACAAAACTGCTCATTATTTGCTTATAACGTTACCGTCTTTTATCGTCCAGTTGAGATTTCTTTATTGAAAACATTTATACTAAAAGAACATTGACTGGATTTTAATACGTAAACCGCTGAATTGGTCTCACCATCCGAGCAAAGATGATCCTCGCCTTTGCTCTTCACAACAAAAACAGATATGACAACAAACATCGCCTGTTGTCACTTTGGTTTCCGGTAGCGTCACTTCCGGGGAGACTTTTATTCTGGACATGTGGTGTAAAATGTTGTATTAAATTATATTTTTTTGCCAAGAAGTGTAACGTTATACGTTTTAAATCATTCTCTATTTTCGATCCTTGTTGATTTGAGTTGCAAAATAGGTAAACGTTTGACCAACGGACGGTTAATAATATATTAAATAATATAAATATATTACATTTATTTATTTATTCATTCTTACCATTTATAATCAACAATAAAATATAGAATGAGTATTTAAAAGAAAAAGAAAAAGAAAAAGAAAAAGAAAGAATTTCAATTAAAACAATAGCCAGTTCTATAAAAAAAAACATATCGTCATAAAATCAAATTGTCGTATACATTCCATTATTTATGTGAATACAAAAAAGAGAATAAATAAAATAAGCTAACGTGTTTTTATACAGTGATGAGGAATGGGATTATGGAGGACGAAACCTGCAAAAACAATAAATAAATAAATACACAAATAAATAAATAAATATGCAAATAAATAAATAAATGTGTGTATAAATACACAAATTCTTGTTTATATACATATAGAAATAATTAAACGTGTGATTAAAGTAGGCAAATAAATTGGGCAAATGGAAAATGTTTAAGGAAATGCTAAACTCATCCTATTTATTTTCCTTTGATCACTCTATTTGATCACTATTTCTGTCGTCACATTCTATAAGTATTTAAACAAGAATTTGTGTATTTATACACACATTTATTTATTTATTTGCATATTTATTTATTTATTTGTGTATTTATTTATTTATTATTTTTGCAGGTTTCGTCCTCCATATGGGATTGCGTAAACATGGCGGCCTACATGTTAATCCTTGAATTGATTTAGTTTCATAAACTATCTTTCTTTCTTCGTCCTGCTGTCATTTCAAAACACTACAACAACATGTTTCATTTTACACGTTGCAGTCGATTGACACGCGGCACTGATCCCGCTGTCAAATCGACTTTTGAACTCCCAAAAAACAAGAGATTTCATGATCCACCACCTCAATAGGTACACAATTTGTCTCTTTGTTTATTATTTCAGATTGAAACTAATTGTCTACACAGTAGTCATTTCCATATTCATCTGCCTGAGGTCATGAGAATATCTATTTGCATTTCATTTTGCATATGTATATAAACACAATTGATAGTAAATGTGATCAAATAGACACTGCAGGTGTAGAAATAGATTATTTAAGCACGCAAACGGCGATATTTGACATTTACATTGCTTAAACTAAAGAAAAATATCGCTTAATAGCCATGCTATGACCCTTGTGAAAAAGAAACACACTTTAGCATACCTTTCATTCAGTAGTACCATGCAACACTGTACTTTTCCATTATTTCTTGTATTTCAGGCGTGGCCAGCATACAGTATCATGGAGTAGTGCACAAACCCCATCAACACAGATCACTGTCAGCACTCCTGCTCGCATATGGAGACAAGTTCAGAAAGTGCTCCGTCTAGCATCCAGACAGCAGCCCAGACCACCAAACATCACTCTGAAATTTATATTAGGACCTGCTGCTTTAACAGTGACAGCACGCTTGCTTGGTACTGGAGCTCACTGTGAAGCAGATGTGAACAATAACGTCCCGCTGGAAGTTCAGGGAAAAGAGAAGATTCCTGAATTCAGCTTGGCCGTCCCGTGGGAGTTCGTTCGGCCCCAACTTTTTGCTCTTATAGGAGCCATTATCGTAAGTAAACAATGAAACTATTGACACTTATGCTTAAGTTAATTGTGTTTTTTTGACCATATCATCGATAGTTTGGTTTATTGTGCTGTGATATCTCTGTTGTTTTCCTCTTTCAGCTTGCGTTTGGAGCAGCAGCCGTTAATATTCAGATTCCTCTGATGTTGGGGGATCTGGTGAATGTGGTCACTCGCCACATGAGAGAACAAGCAGGTCATTACATGAGAGACATTAAAGCGCCTGCAATGAAGCTGCTCGGACTGTGTGGTTTACAGGTACTTTACACTGAAGCTCTGTGAGCAAAATTTGACTTGCCTCTTGATTTATGATAGATTTAGGAAAGAAACGAATATAATTATTCAACAAAGACACATTAAATTGATCAAAAGTGACAATACAGACATTTACAATGTTTCAAAGAATTGCTTTTCTGTTCAACTTTCTGTTTATCAAAGAATCCACAAAAAATTTATGATTTTCCACAAAAATATAAAGCAGTACGCCTGCCTTTAATATTGATAGTATGTTTCTTGAGCAGCAAATCAGCATATCAGAATGATTTCTGAAGGATCATGTGACACTGAAGACTGGAGTAATGATGCTGAAAATTCAGCTTTGCATCACAGGAATAAATTATATTATAACATATATTCAAATAGAAAACAGTTCATTTAAATTGTAATAATATTTCATTTTTTTACTGTTTTATTTGTAATCAAATAAATGCAGCCTCGGTGAGCAAAAGAGACTTATTTTAAAACACGACCCCAAACTTTTACTTGGTAGTATATTTGACTTTACTTGTCTTTCAGGGTCTGTTGACCAGTGGCTACATCATTCTTCTGTCTAGAGTTGGAGAGAGAGTGGCAGCGGACATGAGGACAACTCTCTTCACCTCTTTGCTTCGGTTTGTACGTTTTTTTTAGATGTTTAAAATGCTAAAACACATAGGGCATTTGGAAGACAGACATCTTTCTACCGATCTTGTCTAAATGTCATGCTACCGACAAGATGTTGCATTTTTTGATGCAAACAAGACCGGGCAGCTGGTTAATCGCCTGACATCAGACATCCAGGAGTTTAAATCTTCCTTCAAGCTGGTTATTTCTCAGGTAGGATATTTCAGATGAAAGCAAGTGTGTTTAAACCCCTAGTAAGAATGTATAGACGTACCACATTCATTTGGTTATGTGTTATGTTTTACAGGGTTTGCGCAGTGCCACACAGACAGTGGGCTGTTTTGGGTCGCTGCACATCATCTCTCCCAAACTCACGGGTCTCACTGTGGTCGTCCTGCCATGTCTTGTGGGGGCTGGTGCTCTCATCGGCTCTTTTCTCGGTAAACTGTCACGGAAAGCACAGGAACAGGTAACTTCTAACACTCTGTAGAAGACGTGGAGGTTGTGGTTTTGTTACTCTTTGTATGCTAACTCCCCTGTTTTCCTCTTTTAGGTTGCTAAAGCTACGGGAGTGGCCGATGAGGCTCTTGGTAACGCGAGGACAGTGAGAGCTTTTGCCATGGAGGATCGAGAACTAGAGTATGACGACAGACTTTTATCCACATTTTCTGTGTTGATGTTGAGGGAAAAATCTGCTGAATTCTGTGGAATAGTTGAGAATGCTACACTCTAAAAATATCCTGTTAAAAAATGACAGATGTTGGTATCTGAAGAGCATGTCCTTACAAAATACGGTGACAGTGACAGTTGTAATAATTTACTACATATAACTGTGTATTTCATTAAGTGATACAATGCTAATTTACCAATCTACTTGAACTACCAAAATCTGCTTTTTACATTAAAAGCTACTAATAATCAATAATAATACTAAAAAATATAGCTGCAAGCAGCGATTACTGGGGTTCAAGCGCTTAAGGCATTTAAGCATATAAGGAAAAAGACATTACATATTATCTAGCAAGGCTGTACCCACCTAAATCAATGATTAAAAAAGCATTTTTGACAAATCCAGGTAATTTACCATAGAAATATTATGTTTTTTTAACATTTATGACTGTTATAGCGCCAGCTGTGGTCTGCTCTCCTTAAAACTTTGCATGCTTGTTTAGAATCACCTGTCGCATGTGCTCAGCAAGTTTCGTGAAGTTTTGAGTTTTTATTTTTGCTTTATAGGATTTTGGGTAAATTTGGACCCCTTTTCTAAACGACCCCGTTATAGATTCCCAAAGTGTACATTTCAACATTTTTTGATAATTATTGGCCTAGAGAGTCTTGTACTGAGAATTGTACTGCAGTGTTTTTTTCCAGATTGAGCAAAAAATCTAGGACACTAGTTCGCAAAAGTAAATAATCAAACAATTTGATTGACAGCCGTGGTTCTAGAGGCAAAGTTGTCCGGAATGAGGAGTTCTATCGTATGACACAAATATCATGCGTATGTGTGAAAAACGCATGACGTACAATCATGTACGCCCTTGAAAAATGCGATGCGATCAAATTTCGTCGGCCAATGGTGGCCATGGTTTTTGAGATATGCAAATGTCCTTGTAGGCACTTGTTGCACTTTATACCAAGACCGTGCACACCGATTTTCATGTTAATAAGACAAATGGTTGCGCAGTTATAGCCATTTTTATGTTTTTTTCCCTCTTATAGCGCCACCAAGTGGCCAAGCTCTGCGATTTTTTTCCCCTGTGACCTCAGATTGAGCTCTTACACAAGTGTTCTGAGTTGGGCAAAGATATCTCATTCCGTTCAGGAGTTATAGGCATTGTACTAAAATTGGCCCTGCCCCTTTTGAACGTTTTGGCGCCCCCTTTGCGACGGTGAGACGAAAGTTCAACTTTTTTGATGATTATTGATAATCACTCTCCAGAGAATCTTTCTGCACTGGTTTGGTTCCAATCAGGCAAAAAACCTAGGACTAGTTCGCAAAAAGTAAGTTTTTCAAAAAATTTGAAAATTTCCCTGGCTCACGATCGAATCTGAGGCATGTGTTTTGTCCAGCGTGAGCCAAGGATTCCAACGACATAAGACACTTGAGCCTGTGACTGACGGTTTAAGAGTTATGAGCGATTTTGTAATTTTGATCGCTGTAGCGATATTCAGGCCTATTGGGGCGAGCCTTGGTCACGTTGTAGGCGGTGTGAGTACTTCCATCCCTTTTCCAACATTCAGATCCTCCATCTATTCCCTCTATATTCAGGCAAATCCACAGTGGCTGCCTTATTGGAGCGGTTCTATGACCCCAGCAGTGGAGAGGTCATGCTGGACGGGCTGGACATCAGGACACTGGACCCATCCTGGTTAAGAGGTCATGTCATTGGGTTCATTAGTCAGGTACATTTTTTTCTCTCTATCATTTCAGCTTTCTCTTTGTGTTATATGTGTGTGAAATAGATAATCAATCTTATAATTCTGTTTTGTCATTATTACAGGAACCTGTTCTGTTTGGTACCTCAGTGATGGAGAACATCAGGTTTGGAAAGCCCAGTGACACAGACGCTGAGGTCATGGCTGCTGCCAAACAAGCCAATGCTCATAATTTCATCACAGGATTCCCGGATGGATACAACACCGTGGTTGGTCAAAGAAAATGAGTTTTAGTGAATATTCTCTGTTTTGAGTTTTATGTATCACTAAATAGATAAATGTCAGTGTTGTGTAATGGTAGCCAAACTGTTTTTAAATACGGTTTAATTGACAAACTCTAGACTGAAAGTATTTTGAATCTTTTCTCTTTTTTTTAAATGAAAAGCTTTCAATAAACCAAGGTGTACATTTTAATTTGAAATATATATTATATTCTAATACCATTGAGTTGATACTCTTTGTCTTCCATGAAAATTGAGGTATAATAAAATGATTTTCTTCCTGCATTATTTCTTTCTTTGTTTGTTTATTTATTAATATAAAAAAATTATAAAAATATATTGTCAAAAGTGTTTAGCTAGAATTTATTGAAATGTTTGTTGTTGTTGTTGTTATTAATGCATTTGAAAGTATTTTTCTAGACCCAGAAATCCATTTACAAACGGTACTTTTATTTTGAAGTGTCTCTCAGTGAGTCGCCATCTTGGAGCTCTCATCGCTCTCTTCATGTTGCGTACTACGCCCCTTGTTGATAAAAACGACTGTAAAAAGCTGTACAATTAAAACCTTTAATACATAGGAAAATAAGGAGCCAGGACGCTTTATTTAAAAGCTGTTGTAGCTGGCTAAAACCATGCAAAAGTATGAGAAGTTGGAGAAGATAGGAGAGGGTGAGTAAATGGATAGTCTGGCCTGACTGGGCTGTGTCTGCATTAGAGATTTATAGAGTATTAACATTCATGAATGTTTACTGTTATAATAGAGCTTACAGCGGCTGGCAGTCAGTGAATTACGCTTTCGTAAGCATGTGTTAAGATTAAAGTCCAAGCTACAGCTAGCTAGCACTGAGGTGATGGTGCACCTGGCTTTAGATCCATCAGAACAGCGTTTGCGCACCTGTTCAATGATGTGATCGCTTTTGTTGAGAGAAATGCAGCTGTTGCATTGATAATCTCTCATTAAACTACCGTAATAGATCGTTCATCGCAGCACCATTATCAGGCTGTTCTTTGATTCTCGTTGAGCTGTTAGAAGCTGATTTATTTGAGACATGAAGGGATTCTTCCTCTAGGGGGCGCATGGAGGCTCAAAGTCGGCTTTTCTCCGTTGAGTTAACATTCAAATCTCAGGACGATTTGTACCTTATTGGCGAGTTTAGTACACTAAATATACTAATTCAAATACATTTAATTGAATTGGTAGTCAAGTTATACATGACAATTTGGGAGTCTTTATTAAATCATAAAATATGCTCCTACATTAATCACAACGGCTGTGATTGGTCCAATCCTGAAGTTCGATGAGAAAGTAAACAGTTACCACGTGACAACGCTGTTTAGCCGATGTTATTCTAAGGAAGCGCTCTGGACAATAATTTACACCTGTATAAATACATGCATAAAGTTTCATATCCATTGAACTGCAAATCAAACAGCTGAGAATTCTAATATATAACAATTGTTTTGTACGGGTTTTTTTTTTTTACCGCTAGGCCACGCCCATTTGAGGATTTGTTGTGTTCTAATTGATATTTTGCCAACTCATCCTAATTCTACAGTGATTTTTTTAAATTAATGCTTAGAAGTCAGTCTGCCAAGTCTAATATTTTACTCCTAGTTTCTTTAATGCATTTTGTGCTCTGTCACCAGGTACGTATGGGACGGTTTTCAAGGCTAAAAACAGAGAAACGCATGAGATTGTGGCCCTCAAACGAGTGAGACTGGATGATGATGATGAGGTAAGGAGAGCTCAGACTGCTGGGGGTCAAAAGTCATACTAAAAGCAAATTGTCATATTAATTTTTAATCCTACGGCAGGGGGTTCCAAGTTCAGCATTACGAGAAATTTGCCTCCTGAAAGAACTGAAGCATAAAAACATTGTAAGGTGTGTTTGCTTTTATTTTTTAATTAATTGCATATTTAGTATTTTTCATAATACAAAATAAATATTGTTAATTAATTAGTTTTTTTCTTTCTTGGATTTATTGCATTAAAAAACCTAATTAAAATGATTGCATTCAGATTATTGCAAAAAGAGCATTTTTATTTATTTTGGATTTAAAAAAAAATATTGCACATTTAATATATTTAACTATATTAAATCTTTTTTCATAAGGATTTTGATGAGTTAGAAATTGTGCAGCTTGTTTTATGCTGCTTTACAACATGCAAAATAAATGTTGTTAATTAACAAGTACTTGTGTACTTTTTATATTTCTCTTGTTTTGTTTTTTTTTCATTCTGTCATCTTTCAAATTATTATTTGTTATTATTGCAATTAGGGCTGCACGATTAATCGAATTCGATTATCATGCGCATTTTGTTAGTAAAGCCGTCAGGCAAAAAACCTAGGACTAGTTCGCAAAAAGTAAGTTTTTCAAAAAATTTGAAAATTTCCCTGGCTCACGATCGAATCTGAGGCATGTGTTTTGTCCAGCGTGAGCCAAGGATTCCAACGACATAAGACACTTGAGCCTGTGACTGACGGTTTAAGAGTTATGAGCGATTTTGTAATTTTGATCGCTGTAGCGATATTCAGGCCTATTGGGGCGAGCCTTGGTCACGTTGTAGGCGGTGTGAGTACTTCCATCCCTTTTCCAACATTCAGATCCTCCATCTATTCCCTCTATATTCAGGCAAATCCACAGTGGCTGCCTTATTGGAGCGGTTCTATGACCCCAGCAGTGGAGAGGTCATGCTGGACGGGCTGGACATCAGGACACTGGACCCATCCTGGTTAAGAGGATACGTTATTGGGTTCATTAGTCAGGTACATTTTTTTCTCTCTATCATTTCAGCTTTCTCTTTGTGTTATATGTGTGTGAAATAGATAATCAATCTTATAATTCTGTTTTGTCATTATTACAGGAACCTGTTCTGTTTGGTACCTCAGTGATGGAGAACATCAGGTTTGGAAAGCCCAGTGACACAGACGCTGAGGTCATGGCTGCTGCCAAACAAGCCAATGCTCATAATTTCATCAAAATATAACAATTGTTTTGTACGGGTTTTTTTTTTTTACCGCTAGGCCACGCCCATTTGAGGATTTGTTGTGTTCTAATTGATATTTTGCCAACTCATCCTAATTCTACAGTGATTTTTTTAAATTAATGCTTAGAAGTCAGTCTGCCAAGTCTAATATTTTACTCCTAGTTTCTTTAATGCATTTTGTGCTCTGTCACCAGGTACGTATGGGACGGTTTTCAAGGCTAAAAACAGAGAAACGCATGAGATTGTGGCCCTCAAACGAGTGAGACTGGATGATGATGATGAGGTAAGGAGAGCTCAGACTGCTGGGGGTCAAAAGTCATACTAAAAGCAAATTGTCATATTAATTTTTAATCCTACGGCAGGGGGTTCCAAGTTCAGCATTACGAGAAATTTGCCTCCTGAAAGAACTGAAGCATAAAAACATTGTAAGGTGTGTTTGCTTTTATTTTTTAATTAATTGCATATTTAGTATTTTTCATAATACAAAATAAATATTGTTAATTAATTAGTTTTTTTCTTTCTTGGATTTATTGCATTAAAAAACCTAATTAAAATGATTGCATTCAGATTATTGCAAAAAGAGCATTTTTATTTATTTTGGATTTAAAAAAAAATATTGCACATTTAATATATTTAACTATATTAAATCTTTTTTCATAAGGATTTTGATGAGTTAGATATTGTGCAGCTTGTTTTATGCTGCTTTACAACATGCAAAATAAATGTTGTTAATTAACAAGTACTTGTGTACTTTTTATATTTCTCTTGTTTTGTTTTTTTTTCATTCTGTCATCTTTCAAATTATTATTTGTTATTATTGCAATTAGGGCTGCACGATTAATCGAATTCGATTATCATGCGCATTTTGTTAGTAAAGCCGGTTCTGTAATCAGCAGGAAATCATCATCACGTGCTTTCAGATGAAGTCGTGAAAGAAATCGTTCAGGATAATGACAGCTGTTTGCATAGCTTCTCAGTGAACTACGGCTCTGTGAAGTAAATGCTGCTCCATCTGAAAGCATGTGAAAATACCACATTTAATAACATATTTTTACTCCAAACTCACTTCATAACGTCAGTCGAGTGTTTGAAATAAATCCTTCTGTGAGATGATGTGGCTTCTTACACAGAATAAGGCACGCAACATATTTCATAGTATTTAAGCAGTGATAAAGGCATTGCATTATAAATATACTTTATTTTAATGAAAATTATAATAATAAGAACTCCGATAAATGGTATATTGCTGTAGTCGTGAGTTTATTAGTCACGTTGAATCAATAAAAGCAGTTGAATCTTCTGTTTATTCAGCTGCAGCGATAGGCATTTTCTGGGTTTCTTTTGCGAGGCGTATTTGGAGTTTCAGCGCGAGAGCGCCCTCTGGCCTTCGGATGGAGATTTACTGCTGATCACAGAACCGTGCTTCACTGAAAGATACGCATGACAATCGCAGCTTCTGTCGAATCGCGATCTTGATTCCATTTCGATTTATGGTGCAGCCCTAATTGCAATACATTTTCCTTCTCTTGGGATTTTTAAAAATTATTCCATGTTTAATATATTAACTATTTAATGCCAGGTTTGGTTGGTTGCAAGTAATTTTAAGTAGGTTTTTTTAAATAATCATTTTAAATGAATTATCAATATAATTAAATGGCGATGAAATAAAAATGGTGTATCAACAAGCACTACTTGATCTTGTAGGTTGCATGACGTCCTTCACAGTGATAAGAAGCTGACATTAGTGTTTGAGTATTGTGATCAGGTAGGAGGCTGCGTCATAAATTGCATCATTATATTTACCCTGATTCCAGTGATCTTGCTGCTTGAACTAGTCTTAAAACTAGTATGTTTTTTAAAATGTAGAATGATTTTCATTCAAAACAGGATTTGAAGAAATACTTTGACAGCTGTAATGGTGACTTGGATCCAGAGATTGTCAAGGTTTGATTTGTTTTTGAAACTTTTTTATATATATGTATGAAACCCTGTAACAGAAGATGTTTGAGATATCAGATAATGCAGATTTAATTCTTCTCTCCTTGCAGTCCTTTATGTACCAGTTATTGAAGGGTCTTGCCTTCTGCCACAGCCGAAATGTTCTCCACCGAGACCTTAAACCACAAAATCTGCTCATCAACCGAGTAAGCAAATGACCCAAAGTGCCTGATATTGAATAATTTGTGTCATGAAATAGCCTGTAGGTTTGCATTATATACGACTATAAGATTTGAATTATGAATTATGTTGTTAAAACAGATTTTGTAGAACTTCAAGATGCTAGTTTCCTTATTTCTGTATATCTGTATCATGTTGTTTTCATCAGAACGGTGAGCTGAAGTTAGCTGACTTTGGCTTGGCCAGAGCTTTTGGAATACCTGTACGCTGTTATTCTGCTGAGGTAAAGCGACACGGCTTCAGATGCAGTGTGGTCTTTCTCAGAGTCTCCCTGTTCCTCACTTCATGTTGGTTGTCTTCAGGTGGTGACGTTGTGGTACAGGCCTCCAGACGTGCTGTTTGGTGCTAAGCTATACTCTACCTCTATTGACATGTGGTCTGCAGGGTGTATATTTGCAGGTAGGAATGGCCTCATTTAAAATCCATAATTTATTCTTGTAGTATATTAATTTATTTTTCTGTATTATTTTTGCTATTTTTTAGAATTGGCAAATGCTGGACGGCCATTATTTCCTGGTAATGATGTGGACGACCAGCTGAAGAGGATCTTTAGATATCCTTTACACTCAAATTTCTGTTGGGTTTATACATTTGAATTGAACTGTGAATCCTGAAGTTTATTTATATATATATATATATATATATATATACACACACTAGTCAACATTTCAAGTGGATCAAAACCTTTCATCAAAGTTGTCCTAAAACCAAAATGCATTCTTGTCTTAGGACAACTTTGATGAACTTTTTTGATCCATTTCAAATGTTGACTACTGTATCATACTATCATAGTTTTTTTTTTATTAGTTTTTATTTTTATATTTTCACTTAGTTTAGTTTAAATTTTAATTGAAATGTATTGTTTTTTTTCTTCAGTTTTCAGTTCTATTATATATATATATATATATACAGTGCCTTGTAAAAGTAGTCATACCCCTTAATTTTTTCACGGTTTGTCAAGTTGCTGCTTTATGTTAAACCGCTTTAAATTACCTTTTTTCCCCCACATCAATATACTCTCCATACACCATAATGGTAAAACAAAAAACTGTTTTTTAACATCTTTGCAAATTTATTAAAAATAAAAAACTTAAATAATTCCATTGCATAAGTATTCATACCCTTATCTGGGACAGTTGAAATTTAGCTCCAGAGCATTCATATTGCTTGTAGATGTTACTACACTTCGACACTTCGAGTCCTGTGGCAAATTCAATTGAATGGGTATGATTTGGAAAGACACACGCATCTTAATTAAAGGTCTAACAGCCTAACAGCTATATCAGAGCAAAAACCAAGCCCTGCGTTTAGAGCTCAGAAACAGGTTTGCGTCAAGCCACACATCTGGAGAAGAGTTCCGAAAAATTTTTTGCTTCATTGAAGGGTCACAGGAGCATGTAGTCTCTGTTACCCTTAATGGAAGAAGTTTGAAACCACTAGGACTCTTCCTAGAGGTGGCCTCCTGGCCAAACTGAGCAATTGATGGAGAAGGGCTTTGGTTAGCATGGTGACCAAGAAGCTGATGGTAACCTACAGGACAAACATCGCTGCAACACTCCACTGATCTGGGCTTTATGGCGGTGTGGCCAAACTCAATCCTCTCTTCAGTTAAGACACATGAAAACACACTTGGAATTTACAAAAAAGCACCTAAAGGACCCTCCGACTCTGAGAAACAAGACTCTCTGGTCTGATGAACCTCAATTCTAAGCATCATGTTTGAAGGAAACCAGCTCCGCTCATCACCTGCAGAGTACCATCCCAAAAGTAAAGTGTGCTGGCAGCAGCCTCATGCTGTGGGGCTGTTTTTCAGCAGCAGCGACCGAGGGACTCGTCAGAGTAGAACTAAAGCTCAGTGCACCAAAATATTGAGATAGCCTTAATGAAAACCTAGTACAGAGCATTCAGAACCTCAGACTGAGCAGAAGGTTCACCTTCCAACAGGACAATGAACCTAAGCACACCGCAAGAGTGGCTTATAGACAACTGTGTGAATGTCCTTGAGTGGCCCAGCCAGAGCCTGAGCTTGAACCCAATCAAATATTTCTGGAGAAACCTGAAAATGTGCATCTGCCCCCATCCAACCTGACAGAGCTTGAGAGGTGAACGGGTGAGGTGAAGAATGGCAGATAATTGCCAAATGCTGATGATCAAAGCTTGTCGCATCAAACAAAAAAGATTTGAGGCTGTTAAGGTGCTTCAGCTAAATATTTAGTTACTTACGCAATGTACTTATTTCAGTTTTTTATGTTTACGAAGTTGTGACAATTCTGTTAATGCTTTGTCAATATGGTGTATGGAGTGTAGATTGATGTGGGAAAAAAGTACATTTAAGCAGTTTAACATAAGGCAGCAACATAACGTGAAAAAAATGAAGGGGTATGAATACTTTCGCAAGGCCCTGTATATATATATATATATATACACACACTAGTCAACATTTCAAGTGGATCAAAACCTTTCATCAAAGTTGTCCTAAAACCAAAATGCATTCTTGTCTTAGGACAACTTTGATGAACTTTTTTGATCCATTTCAAATGTTGACTACTGTATCATACTATCATAGTTTTTTTTTTATTAGTTTTTATTTTTATATTTTCACTTAGTTTAGTTTAAATTTTAATTGAAATGTATTGTTTTTTTTCTTCAGTTTTCAGTTCTATTATATATATATATATATATACAGTGCCTTGTAAAAGTAGTCATACCCCTTAATTTTTTCACGGTTTGTCAAGTTGCTGCTTTATGTTAAACCGCTTTAAATTACCTTTTTTCCCCCACATCAATATACTCTCCATACACCATAATGGTAAAACAAAAAACTGTTTTTTAACATCTTTGCAAATTTATTAAAAATAAAATTTAGAGCTCAGAAACAGGTTTGCGTCAAGCCACACATCTGGAGAAGAGTTCCGAAAATTTTTTTGCTTCATTGAAGGGTCACAGGAGCATGTAGTCTCTGTTACCCTTAATGGAAGAAGTTTGAAACCACTAGGACTCTTCCTAGAGGTGGCCTCCTGGCCAAACTGAGCAATTGATGGAGAAGGGCTTTGGTTAGCATGGTGACCAAGAAGCTGATGGTAACCTACAGGACAAACATCGCTGCAACACTCCACTGATCTGGGCTTTATGGCGGTGTGGCCAAACTCAATCCTCTCTTCAGTTAAGACACATGAAAACACACTTGGAATTTACAAAAAAGCACCTAAAGGACCCTCCGACTCTGAGAAACAAGACTCTCTGGTCTGATGAACCTCAATTCTAAGCATCATGTTTGAAGGAAACCAGCTCCGCTCATCACCTGCAGAGTACCATCCCAAAAGTAAAGTGTGCTGGCAGCAGCCTCATGCTGTGGGGCTGTTTTTCAGCAGCAGCGACCGAG